CTTACCGTATGTATGTGTGCATGTATGTATGTATGTAGGATGTCATTTGCATAGTACAAATTGGAAGACAGTAATTATTAATAATCAATAAATTTATGCAATTAGTGGGACATTGTATTACAATTTTGTAAATAAATATTCATCCCTTTTTTATGATTATTCTAAAATTATAATTCTTTAAAATAATTAAAAACAAAAAAGAAAAAAGATGTACATAAGGTAATTTAAATTTGATTAAAAAAAGTGAAATAATTTCCTTTCCCAGTTAATAATACAAAAATGTTTTTCACTTTTTTCACTTTTTTTTTAAAAAAAAAGAACTTTTTTCCAACAATGCACTTTTTTTCAAGAAATTTTTTTTAAGGAAGAAAATACTTTCATTGTAATGCATTGTCTTATGCATATTATCATAATTTCATTGATCATTGATTTGTTTTCACTGAAAATTAATAAAATTTAATTATAATTTCATTATACCTTTAATCTTTTTAATACTCGACCGGTCCATTGCATATTTGCTGTAAGTTTCAAACAAAAGCCAACATTTAAATTATCAAAAGATAAGAGTTAATAAATTATTGTTGTACTTTGATATATATATAGATAAAACCTGCTTGAATTTTTAATATATGCAAACTTTAGCATTTCTAAATTGAAAAAATTCGACAAGACATTGATAGACATTTTTTAGAATTGTTACAACACTTCTTCCTACTTTATAAATTAAATTTTAGCAATTTCCTTTCTAAAAAATTTCTCAATTCAAATTCGTAATATTTCACAATGTATGATTAATTTCAGAAATAAAATTTGTCAAAATATATAAGTTTCAGTAAAAAATAGCGAATAAAAGTTTTGCAACATGTCAATAAGTGACACAGTTGAAACGACATTTTCTGAGATTGATTTCAATGATCATAAGGCAATGATTGAAAAACTTAATGATTTTGGAACTGAATTACACAAACTACTTTATCAGTACAATAGTGATAACGTTGAAAAGGAATTACGAGGTGCTGAGGAAAAAATTGGCATAAAAAGCGAATATGTAAGAATACATATACATTTTTTTTCATAAAAGATTTGATAATGTAAAAAGCATAATATTGATAACAATAATGATAAAGGAGTAATAGAAACAATATAGTATGGATGATGTCTTGAAAAGGACAATATTAATAATGATAATGATAGGATAAGGAGTGATAAGGATGATATTGCAATAACGATGACAATGAAAAAGTTTGAAGAATTAGCTCAGCATAGATTGTTAAAATTAGCATTATTTGATGATAGAATTGCTAATTCATTACAAAATTATTACAAAAAAAAAAAAAAAAAGAAATGGAAAAGCATTTCATCTATATTCAATAAATAAAATATATTAGTGATAGTGTCTCTCTTATACGTAACAAATTAATATTCCAATGATGTTAAATTAATAATTTAATTTATCAGTCAAATATTTTGTAATGGAAAATTTTTTAAAAGGAAAAAAACTTTTAATAATAGAACAATCTTTTTAAAATCTCAAACTTTATTTGAAAAATACTTCCAATTTATATGAGGTAACATGTGTTATGATTGTATTATCGCATTATATCTTATTGTTGGTGATGAAGCTGGCATATTAACAAATCTTATTGTTTCACATATCCTGCTGCTCCAGTATTGAAGTTAGTTTATTGTTCTATTGTTCTAACAAATTATTGTTCAACAATTTACAACATAGCAAACAATTAAATAAATAATAATTGAAGAAGTTTTACTTTGTTTTTATTATTTACTTCTTTTCTGATGCATTAGTTAACACTTAAATGAAATATTTGAATTTGATTTTTTTTTTTTTTTTTGGTCATAATGGAGAGAAAATAACTGTGAATCAAAAAATAAAGATGAAAAAAAATTTTTTTTGGTTGATAATATTTCAAAAAGGAAGAAAATGATAATAAAGGATTAAAAAGTGAAGAAAAAAATAGCATTAAGCTTTCTCTTCTTTTTTTTGAAAAGATTGTGTTGAAGTATTGAAAGTTCTTTACAAAAATGCTTTACATTAAAAATCGCCAATGATTTGTTAGTTTGGCACACACCGAAATATTTGGAAAGAAAATTTCTAGGCCATACATAATCACTCAAAGTCAAAAGTAATGAATTGGCTAGGCTATTGAATACAGTTTGGTTTTTTAACATTAACTGATTCATATGCTAAAACTATCAATGCTATTTTTCCCTTTTATTGGCTAATTAAGGTAATTATAGATGTTATATCAATTAATATTAATTCTTAATTTCCTTTTTCAAATTCACAACTATATTACTGTTATGAAAAAATAATTCCTCCATCTATGCTTCTCTAAAAATGAAATTTAGTCGAAAAAGCTAAGCTTTACAGTGGTTTTTCTTTCAAAACAATCGGTAGTTATTCTAATATAAAGATATATGTATATAATGATTATGCAACATCTATTTACAATTCACAATAGACATATCAAATGATTAATAATAATAATAAAATAAAAGTAAAATACTAATACATTCCCTTTATATGATAATAAACATAAACTTATATACTGAAAGTCATTGAAAGTAAGCCTTAATGCCTTTTTGAAGCAAAAAGTTAGACTGCAATTCAGTGAAGAAATATGACAGAATCGTTAATTCAATGAATCATTCCACTTTGATGTTACACATTTTTTAAAAATTTCTCTCTCATCACATCTATCCTTTATAACATATTTGAGAAGTGTACAATGTTGTTATCAATCAGAATTGTTTCAAATAATATTTTGAACCCAAATTTCAATTAATCTCGTTTTCCGCTAAATTTTAACCTATTTGCAGACTGCTGTTTTACTCTTTTTGATGTTACCATGTGTCGCACAACGTCTTCACAACAAATTAATCAATCCACAGTATGTAAAATTACGTGTAATGTTATTATAATGCATTTTATGATTCCTTTTTTTCGTTTTTTTTTTTCTCATTTGAAAAAAGGAAGATGAGATGACTGATTTAAAGAAGAGCTGAATTAATTTCAGAATTCAATAAATTATTTGCTTATTTAAATCAACAATATATGTAATAATAATAATAATAAATGTATAATTTGTAAGTAACAAATAAAACGTTTAATGAAATCATCCAACCATTAGTGTAATATCATATGACCAAACAAAATCTAATCAGATATCATTCGTATTTTTTCTTTTATCACTGGACTTACTAATTTAGCACCATTTGGCTTAATTAAATTACGATCAATTTTCAATTCTAGTAATGCTATTTATTAGCGATTTACAATTTCTTTCATAGTTACTGGAACTTTATTATTCATTACTTTCACTTCACTGGTGCTATCAGAAGTCTAAACTGAAATCAGAACACGAAAACAAACTATTTGAGTTTTTATTTCATGTGGAAAGACAACTGAAACAATTCTTAAAATGAAAAGGCAAATAAAAGTGAAAAAAAATGAATGAAAATTTGAATACTTTCATAATGCCATTTTAAAAAAGTATTTTTTCGAATACTTCAAAATTTTATTGGCCGTAGCTACAAACAGTTCATAGGGACTTCTTTCGGTTTGAAATTTTTAATCTGGACGGATTCAGAGATGTGTCGAATGTTTCCATTGTCTAATCATCTTCAAATATTATTGCAATACATAAACATACACTTAAAATGAATTCAGTGTTCAGTCTGAATATAACTTATGACTTAGAATCCAATTAAACTTTCATATCATACATATCCTTAAGAGCCTTGTTTGTTTGTTATTGTGTTCAATTGGTATAGACGGATGCATTGAATGATAGATCTGTTGTAACCATTTGATTCGTTAGCAATCACAATACATAGATATTAATTTATAGTAACAATACTGATAATTTCGTAGTGTATCCACAAATGAGATGAAGAAAATGGATGGGTAGTTGAAGAATTTAATGAAATTAAGTGAGTTGTGAGTGAGGGAGAGCAGCCGAATTGATAGCTTACTAATAAGGAAAAAACTGAGAAAAACTGATTGTGACAAAAGATTTAAATCATTATATAGTGGATACTGAGTTGCAATAAGTACATGATTACAGTAATTAGAGAGTATCAGATGATCTTTACTCTTTATAAAGTAAGAAATAGATTTTAATATTGTAGCTTCTCAAAGGCTTAGAAAACCTTTGCAATATTTTGACATTGCAAGTAAATTTGATTTGAAACAAAGGAGTAATTTTTAACATATTAAACAATGCACATACTCTTTGTTAATTGCTGAAAATGTGTAGACGAGCAGATAAGCTCAACTATGGTGGAGAAATAATTGCTTACATGATGTATAATCTGAAACAGTCTTACATTGCTAATGTTCAATTAAAACGAATTTTAGTATTATATTATGGATTAATGCAATTCTATTCCATATATTTTGTAAGCTATTTGGAGGTTCACGAGATTATTTCCGAGTTTCGCGACAAATAGTGTTCGCAAAACAGATTTAGAAGAACCAATAGAATAACAAGGGTCAAAGATCTTGAAGAATTGACAAATTTTTGCTGCATCGTTGGAAGCTATGCATTCAGAAATATTTGTGGTTGATCTGCATGGCCTCGAAGGTCGTTCATTTCTCTATCATACACAACATTTTGCTAGCTAATCTAAAGTCAATATATATTTGACTTTAACAGTTTCCATCGCTTCTCGGAATCTGTTTGTTTTAATGAGAGTTACTTAAGAGTTATTGACTACAAGAAAAATATGATTGTGGAAAAAAATGTATGGGTACCCATAATTTGGGGAAACTGATGCACCGAACAGTGTTGTTATAGATATTTAACTACACTAATACTTGCACCAATTCTTTTCAAAGACATCTATTAAATTGTGGAAGAATCATTAAAAGTATTTATCTGAAGTATAATGAAAAATTAGACAAAAATAAAAGTGTCTCAGTAACATCAACAATAACCCGTTGAATCTAGTAGAAAATAGTTAATCACTGACAGTGTTTACAACTTCTGTTTCATGTAGGCATTCTTTTTGTATTCACTTTCCTGTCCTTGTAAAGTGGAGATCAACCATTTTGTCTTTTCTTTTCGAGCCTTATCACTTTCCAACATTTCTTGCCGTTTTTCCCTGAAAAATTGATTACGGTGAAATTTATATATATATATATATATATATATATATATATATAAGATGTAAATCAAGAAAAAATAACAGAGATTGCATTCAAATGCATTCATTCATATAAATACATATCAACACATGTACCTATTCAAAAATTGATTGTCACGACGTAATTCTCGAACAGTTCCACGTAATTCTTTCTTATACTTTTTAGTGAGTTGCTTGATTTCAACCTTTTTCGACTTCTTTGCAGTGTTCTTCTCGTAATGTGCTTTTTCTATATTATACTTCTCGTCAAAACGTGGTTCCAATAAATCCAGCATTCTAAGTTAAATATAATGAAATAAATTAATGAACAGTAATAAAACGATATGTGACCAGATTTTCTAAGAAAAAACTGACTTTTTCTGCTTAGCTGGCCTTTGCAATTGTTTCAGTAAATTTCTTGAAGACTGAGCGGTGATAAATGATTCCAGTGCAGACAATTCCGTCAACAACTGAGACGGATATAGATTACGCGGTAACCTTGACAACAAGCCAAGCAGTGGTCTAAAAATTCGATTCGCTAATACTCTAATTCCAGACATTTCCTCAATTAATTAATTGAGAAACATACAACTACATTTACTTGTCATTTATTAAGAAATATAAAAATACCTGAAGATTATAGAGAAGCCGATAAGATTGGAATAAAGGAAGCTAAATCGACATAAAACGGTGAAAGCAATATTTAGAACGCATAATCGATTTTTGTTGGTTTCTTCGAAGCTGAAAAAAGATTGCAAAAGTAAGTAGGAAAAAAAAAGACAAAAAAAAAAAAAAGACAAAAAAAAAAAAAAAAAAAACGATTCGCAATCCTTAACAATATACAAATATACAATTATTTTCATGATTATCACTTTATATCAATAGCTCAAAGGACCAGTCATATTTTTATAAGACTGATTTTTGCTGCATCCGGAATGCAGCATCAGTTAGGAAATGAGTTCCATTAAATACATGGAATTCATATAAGAAATAGTAACCATAAACAGTTATTTAAAATAATGAAATAGTACAAACTACTTAATATTCTTCCAGATATGGCCGTTTGAAAATAATACATTTGTTCGTCACAAACCCAACCGTCGTATTCACTATGATAACAAAAAATTAACACTTACCTATCTGTGTCATCAACAAATATTTGCTTCATATCTAGCTGTGAAGGTATTTCAATCATCGAACACTGAAAATGATTAGCATTACTTAAATGAAGACCAATTCTTAAGTCTTAAATGAAAATATTAGAAGAAAACTAATTTCTTGTGCTTAAAAAATAACAACTGCAATTAATGCAAGGATAAACTAACATCATCTGTGACAAAAAGCATTCTTCGATGTGGTAATGATATGGGAAAAGTCGTCGTCGGACAATGTTCATCATCGCTGTTTTCAATCGCCATCAAAAGAACACCGTGAAGAAAAGCGATAACCTCTGGCAGATACCTGTACAATTCATTGTACACATTACACTTCCACAAAATTTAAAAATTTTAATATTCCGAAATTTAAGAAGTTATTGGAAATATAAAACTCTCCACCCAAATTCAATAATCATTTAAAAACTGTTTATCGATACCCTCAAAATTACCTCGTAGGAAAAATTTTACCTTTTACTTTCTTCGACAAATGAACCCACTATTCTGATCATTAATAGCATGCGTGCAATATCTTTTATACTGCACATCCGTGCAGTTGAAACAAGCCTGCATGCAAATGCAAGTGTAGGACTGACAACAGGATGAAATACGTCTCGCACTGGGTACAAAATTAAAACCAGCTTCAGAAATGCAATACAGCGAAATGTAAACATTTCACGTGGTGCACGTGCATGTTGTGCGTATTGTTGACGCAGAAGAGCACGCATGCAACGTGCACTATGCTCAACATTGAGCTAAAACATAGAAAAAAAAATGAATATCAATTATTTCGTCACAAAAAAGTAAAAATTCTGCAATCGATATAAGCTTAACAAAACTAGTAGGAAAAACTGATGTCTTCAAAAAACTGCCTTATAAACTACCTGCATCAAATAATATAATCCTCGTGCTATATAACCAAACAAAGCTATTTTAGCTTCTCGTTCCTTGGACAAGTCGTCGTAATACCTAAAAAGAAAGACTGCAGTTATGAAATTTTTTTTTGAGGGATTAATAATTTAAAAGAATTAATCTGCTATATCCAATATGCATTGAGCTTAAAGTAATACCGATGACAAAGAACTCAAGAGAATACATAACCTAATCTTTTTACTCAAGTTTTCAAGTATATTTTATTTACCTCACTACAATTGATTTATATTTATGAAGAACAAAAAAAAAAATAGTAACTGAAATACCTGAGAAGAAGTAAAAATAAACGACCAAGTCGTGATTTATTCCCTTCGCGAAGACTTGGATGATAGAGCTTTATTAATCTTTTAATGAATACTTCACAGTTTGCATCACTTTGAGCATCCAACAATTTTTTCAGATTTTGGTAGTTCTGCGGCAAATCAATCACAAAAGGTAATTCCGCATTTTGCGATCTTTTCTGAACTGTAATCAATTGTTAATTTGGTAATTTGTTGCACATACTATAAAATGTGTTACTATAAATTAAACTATGATTCTACAAATTAGATACGTATATCTCATCCGAATTATAATCAACTAGCTTCTTAAATTATAACCCATTAGCTTCTTAAACCATCCAAAGTCGAGGTATTTTACTCCGTACTTCCTATTTTTTTACCAATCCACCATATATAATTAATATGTACCACGATCTTTTACTGTACAGCAAAATCTCATATGCATGGTAGAACACTCTAAGGCTAAAAAATGATCACAATAAATATCATTCTCCCAAAACCGAATGCAATCATCGACGACAGCAACGTTCACTGAATACTCCCTCGCTGTTTCAGGAAATAAATTGCACAAATTAGCCTCAATCAACCGTTTTAAAAATTGAAATAATACAACTAACTTTCCATTTCTGCATCTGTAGCAGCATTTTCTGAACTAGATGGCGGCAAATCCATTTGTTCATCGCCATTCACCATTGCATCAAAATCATCCTCTTCTTTGTCTTCATCCAAATCGTCACTTTCTGATTCATCTTCCTCATCTGATGAATCAATCCGAACTAGTTTTATTCGTCCTTTTTTAAGCTAAAAGTACACCAAAAACTTTGGAAATAGAAAATTAGGAGATAATAAAAATTTGCATGAACTGATTACAAAATATAGCATTTTCCTAAGACTAGCGAATGCAATTCCTCAAAAAGTGCCATTGGCAAACAACATAACTCTTCAGTAAAACTGTCAATTCATTGTAACTATACCTTTTCTGCATTCATAAGCACACCTGAGTTGTCGTACTTCACCACAAAACCTTCTTTGTTATCATCAGTTTTCGATTTCTTTTTTGCTTCGCTAATATCAGCCTGGAAAATTTGTTGTAAGACGTCGATTAATAACTGAATGTATAAAAATTCAAATTAATGCATAAAATATATCAGCAAAACGAAGTAATTACAACAATCCTTGTAGAAAATCTTACCAACTGAGCAAGACGAGCTTTTTCCTGTCTAATTAGCTTCTCACGCTCTTCATGTGCAATCTCTTCTTCTGTTTTTTGTCGCTCACTTGCTTGGCCTCTTTTCCCACTATCCATTTGAAGCTCGAAGAACTAAAAAGTTAACAAATCATTCTAAAATCACGCTCTCTGATAAAATAATGAACCTTGCAAAAATATGTGGCAAAAAATAACAAATATAATGATAATCTATCTTTTCAAAAGAATATGCCCAGCAACTTTTCCAAACAAAAAGAATATAGTCGAGACCCGAGGAAATGTATTCGAAATCTGGAATATGAACTTGCCAAATGGTCGTAATCGTCCTTCTCAGGTCGAATTATACTTGATCTATCATTCACAGGCTTTATAAAACCGGACATTACATCCGTTTGTTGTATCTTGTTCCACTTCTCATCCAACCTCTCTGTTGCATCTTCACGCTCATCACGAGCTAATTTCTTGTCGTAACGTTGCTGCTTCGTTTTTGCTATCAGTTCCGCAATAAAGTCTCGTCTATACAAGACAAATATATCGTTAATTGGTTCAAAACCATGTAACAAGTTTCAAAGCACTTATTTCTCTCAAGAAATGCTTTAATAATAAAAAAGGACATAGTGAACAATTTTCCTCCACTACATACCGAAGAAAATTAAAAAAACATATGGTAACAAAAGATGCAGGATATCCTTCCTAGTTTTGAACTTCTTTTCCTAAATGTCATATATAAATTAAAAAAAAAAGGAAAAAAAAAACCTTTTGCTAGTTGCATTTTCCACCGATGCAGCATTTCCACCACCGAAATGAACTGCAGCTACAATATTCGCACCGATACTTCCTCCCCCTCTAATTTCGTCATCGTCCTCGTCGCTTAACATCGTGCGATCATACTTCTCTACTTCTGTTAATTCTCGTCCCCTATGAGTCAATGCTTCTTCTGAAAGATTATAACATGCTGAAAACAAATCACCTGTTCATATAATCAGCATATCAAATGAATATTTGAAACAATTTGAAATTAAATAGTACTTTTAACAACAAAAAAAAAAAGAAAACTCTATACGCAGAAATGATGTTTGACATCTTGCGAAAGACTGAAGCTTCACTAAAAGGAATTTACCTCCATTATTTACCAGTTCCGAATTGGTTGCTTTGAAAATTTTTAAACGTTCTGTAGTAAATCGCTTCGAAATACATTCTTCAGCATTCATCATGCTATTACCTTCACCGATGCGCTGATCAATAATCTAAAAATGACACTTATGGAATGACCAAAAAACAAGGAAAAACGAATTCGTCCTACACTTTGTAATAATTACTAAACAGCGAAAATTGTACTTTATTACGTTTCCCACGTTCTTTCCATTCCACAGCCAATGTCTTAGTCCTATTTTCAAAGGCCTTTTTCTTCGACAATCCTGGTGCACCACATGGAGCTGATATCGCTTTTGTTCCAAGTATCTACAATACATTCAGAATGAAATTTAAAGCACGAGAAATCACAACCACCGACTCAAGAATTAAATTCAAAATCTTCAGAATTACAAAAACTTCATTTTGATAAGACTTACCTTGTGCTTTGCACGATTGTATTTTAACTCGAATGGATTCAGCTCCACCGGCTGATTGTTAGACTTCTTCAGCATTCCACTATTCGCCTTTTTTACCATGTTGAAAACATCTGTTTCATTTACAGATTACCTGTGAAAAGACAGATAGACCAATAAAATGCCACAATCCACAAACACACACACTAATACGTTGTAACTTTCAACTGAAGATTTACGGATCAAAACTATATAGATACTCTCTTCCAACACATTTTAATAGGCGACTTAAGTAGCATACGTAAATTTAGAAACGCGTAAATAAGTACATGTGACCTCACAGGTAAATATGAATTCAAATCCACGATTTATCCTTTGAACAAATTTATTTAACACCAGATTTACAACCAGGACAAATTTGCAATGATTCATGCAATAAAACATCACAATCTATGCAAAACGTCGATTTGCAGCTCTTACAAATGAAACTTTTATCATCAAGTTGTCGGATACAAGCAAAACAGGTCCTAAAAAACAAGTATATTAATATCTGGAGTAATTAAAAATGACTTTTTTTTCAAAGCAGAACAAACCACCCGGACTGCTTACAACTCTGCTACTGCTGGAATATGATTACACATTAGTACTAAATCCTTAAGGTTTTAACCCAAAATTTAGTAAATAGAATTACCCTTCCGCTGTATCGATTTCTTCAAAAGCTGGTAGTGGCAGCAAATTATACAAAGAACGCGCAAGCTGAGGTGCTGAGATTAAAGTTAATTTGCAGATTCGACATTCAACTGGTAAACTGCAATAGCGTGCCCCACACTGCGGACAAAAAAAGCCTCTCCCACCAGATGGCCGAACTTCTGATTGATGACTGAAATTAATCAGCTTCTTTTTGAAAATGTGATTTTTTTTTTTTTTTGAAAAGTTACTTCAATTAAACCCACCACAAACAAAATGAAGGACAATCTATGCTTTCATGGGCTGGAAAACCCATCCGAACAACGCTGCTTTCTGCATTTCGACTACATACCGGAGGAATCGCATGCTCACTCAAAATTACCTCGAAATGGTTACTATCCAGAATTACGTCGTGACGCCCTTAAATTATACAAAATTTAAATTACTTCGCTAAATAAAACTAACAAGAAGAGATTCTGTGGAGAACCATCCTTTAAGAAGAAAAAAATTTACCTGATGTAATAGAACAAAGTTTTTTGAAAACAAAGATTTCAGCACTAAGTGAAATCACCGAGCAGCGTATATGGTACCTTTTTAGTAACTGCAATAAACATTTAAAATAAATAGCACTGTAAAGATGTAAAAAGCAACTTAATGATATAGAGTAGAAAGTCCAATTAATAAAATAAATCGTCAATAAAATAAAAACAAAAAGACTTGAAGGAACCTCAAATGTGCCAAAAATACTTGATGGATCACATGTTGAAAGACTTGCTACAATCAATATTACCTCTCGACTAGCGTGACCCGGGTAACTACTGAAATGTAGATATTTCTGCAAACTCCCGACTTACTGATCCAATTACCAAGACCCGAATTTATTAAACTTGAAAGTGCACTTATATGGCTCCCTCATCAGTGAATGCATCATGTTTTCTTCGTATACATAGCAATGTAAAGATGTAAAAAGCAATGATATATATATATAATCAATGATATAATAACACTTATATAAACTTTAGTAAAACTATATACATGTTTTAGTTATGCATGTATTTCATATTACAATATTACCAGTTGAATACGCAGCTACTCTTATCGGTTCAACATGCCAACTTTTATAGTATGTATATGCATTTGGAATTTCCATACTTATCAAAAAAAATTAAAAAAAAAAATCATACTGCAGACTTCTAATAGTGGCCATCAAACTGTTATGCAATGAAAACTCTCCGTGACACAAGAGTTCTGTTATCGTCGATAATGATTCCTTTACCAAGCGAACATTACCTAAAAAAAAAAGAAACCATATAATCAACTTGAAGATAGATTTAATTTACTGAAATGTGAAAAGAAATAAGTCATTACTACAAGCAATGTAGGAAAGACTTCTGTACTTCAAATTAATATTTAACCTTTCCTTGGTGTACATGTTGAATTTACAAAACATCCATAAAAAAACTGAATGAATATAAACAATTAAATAACCAGTAAGGGGAATCAGGCGTTCGGCTCGTTTATCTCTGCAAACTACAACACCCACTTGTGAAATAGGATTCTGCTCCGAAAACTTGTCGAGAAACTGATTTAAGGCCTGAAAATCAAATTTAATTATAATCACTGAGTAAATCACCATTTCACGTCAATTTTGTGAACCGTTCATTGATATGAAATAAAGTAACAGACCAATTAAAGTGAGATCGACTTTATATAGCATAATACATTAATAAATACTGAAAAAAAAAAAAAAACTCTTTAAATTACTCATAAAAATTAGGAAATTCAGTAGCCACTAATTTCCCGTTCAAAATAATACGGAATATATTTATTTTTGTACTTACAAATGTCTTATTTATGAGGAATAAGACAGTGTGCAAACATCAAAATTTTCCTTACAATAACAAAATAATCGAAGTTATTAAGAAGACTACCTTAATTGTAACAGCAAGACGGGATGGTTGTATTGATTTATCGGCCATTGAAAATGAGCAATCAATGACTAGATACACATAACGCATCTATAAAATTACCCATTTTATTAAAACATCAGATGATCGTAAATTTTAGGATCAAAAAAAATTATAATATAAATTCACTTACAATTCCCAAGCGAACTTTAGCTGGTCTATTGTTAAGACGTTTTTTCCGCTTTGTATCAAGTATCAATTTAGCCACCGATTTCTCAATTGAACCACTCTCATCTTCACGTAATACATCTCGAATATTCAATCCTGCAATTTGCAAATATTGAATTATTTCGCATCTGGTCAACTTTAGACCGCACAACTGTCAATACTAAGTTATTTCTAAGTGAAAAAAAAATCTGCTGCATATAATCTAAAATAGATGCACATTAAGCTGATTCAAATAACAAAATATTTGATAATTATACCATCCGCATAATCCACTTCCCATGTATAACCTTCTGGTTCATCATCATCATTCATTGTATGCCGTGTTTTTCTTAATTAATTCAAATATAGTCCTGAAAGTTAACAACTGCAATTCACCACAAATTGTAAAAGTGAAACAAGAGCACAGACCTATTTGCTCATACCGCAATAAAATTTTATCCAATGAGAACGTACAGAAATCAAATTATCTAAACACTTTCAAAAATCGGCTTAAAAACTAAGTCAACTATGAAATTCGTTAAATCTCAACCTCATTCCTTGCCGCTCACTTTATTTCATCAGTAGTTTTTGATAGTTAAATTCCGAACTGTGTTCTAGTATTTCGAAAGGTAACACTTAACATTCTGCAATAACTATTTCCATTATAGTTCGTATTGCTACCATTCTCTCGTTGGAATAAACTAGAACGCGTAGTGCTTCAGTTCAGTCATAAGCTGTTTAGAAAATGAAGCAAATATGTATCTGAAGTTGTCGATAGAAGCTAAGATTGAGTTCAGGAATGGATTTCTTCCAATTTCTAGGAATAAGTTTAGAAAATTTCGTTGGAAGAGAAGCTGTTGAACAGAGAAACTTATTAATACTATGTAAATTTTATTAATTATTGTACACATATATTTTACTCAGTTAGCATTACACATTTTAAAAATGTTGAAAGGAGAAATATTTGAAATGGAATTGCTTCGTTTTAAGTCATTTCTTCTGAATTAAAAAAAAATTTAATTCGTTAATAAGCCGAATATCTATTTCTTTTATTGGTCTATTAAAACACTTAGGATATTCAATGTACCAGTGTATAAATGAGCAAAGGATACCGAAAGCATTACAAATTCAAATTCTGTTTAGAAAAAGCTAAAATTCACATGAACTCCACTTTCCATCATTCCTGCTCTTTTTTCCTGCTTCAATCCCCTGTCATTAAATTCATAAATGTACATAAATGAGGAATCACTGATCACTGAGTTGTGCATTCCGGATAATTTTTTACTGGTGTCGATTGTGACGAATCTACTTTTATGGCATATCGATTTTTTGATTTCATTTGGGCGTTAGTACAGTCGACTGGTTTGGATGATATGTTGTCATTATCATTTTCTCCAAATCGCGCTTTTTCTGCCACTGGAAAGAACGGTTTAGCTTTTTGATCAAAAATATGAATTTTACATTCTTTTCCCATCATCTAATTATATGACTAAAAAGAAAAAAACACCACAATAAAAGTTATACATACCGTTTTCTCGACAACGCTACTGCATTCAAGTTGTTAATATATTATTAAGTTTACAAACGCTAAAGCCTTTATTTTACTCCCCTTCACTTTTTTTTGTCATGTAGAGGAAATTTGATGGTAGTATTTCACTGTTTCCAAAGCAGCATTGTAAAATCTTAAATGACTTACTGCATTCCTGTTTATTCGTTACCCGACGTAATTCCAATAATAATCCGCTAATTTTTCGGTCCTTTGAAGCAATCTCTCCTTTCATCTCACGTGCCCTAAAAGTTATGATTATTGATAGTTATATTGATACTTGTAATAACTTAAGGTGAATGGGACGAAATGTATACATGGCACTAATAAAGTTTGAAGATGCTATGACAATATATGTAATTATTGCCATTGTAACTGCTCTTCGGATTCATCATTCTTAATAGTGATATATTACAGAAAATCTTACTATCAAGATCAAGGGTAGAGTTAGTACAGTATCACAGTAGCAATAATTACATACATATGTGACAATCCCCTTTTTCGATTCTTAGAAAAAGTTTGTAGAACTGGAAAACATGAACTTACTCCTTTTCCTTCTTTTGAATTTCATTTTCTAAACGAAATAAGTTTTCCTTATTTTGAATATCTACAGCATCGGAAGCCATCATTGAATCCTTCATCTGTACAATCTCATTTCGAAGTGCCGCAATTACCAATAGCTGCAAACAATGGTCGTATCCGTAAGTTTGAGTTACATAATACCCAGCGGAACGTAGTTTTTGAAAGTAAACATAATGTGCCAATTCCACCCTTAC